GACTATCATTAAGTTTGGAAGAAATAGGACGATGTTTTCAACCCAGAGTCCGCTATCTCAACATCGTAGCAGGGGGACGGCTACATTATGCGGGAAATTGCTTTGCTTCAGGATGGATAGAGGAACCTCGGTTTCATCATCCCAAAGTGAATTTATGTGGATACATTAAGGCTGAAACTGAAGGGAGCTACAAGGTTAAAACTTGTTTACAAATGTATTTTCGAAATGGACAATGAGGTACGCATATTTCAAAAATGGTGGCCCAATTTCCTGAACTACAAAAATGTCAAAGTCTTGGGTCGGCCTTCACAAAGCCCTGATCTCAATCTAGTAGAAAATATGTACAGAAAATAGAGCAGAATTGAAGACGTTTTTTTTTTTTTAATAAAGAGGCCTACAAATCGGACTTAGTTCTATCAAGAGTTAAGAGATCGAAATTCCTGTAGCTTGTTATGGAAAAGTTGTGGAAGGTTTCCAAAAACGTTTCACCCACGTGAAACAATTAAAAGGCCATGCGATCAAACTGTGTACCCACTTCTGATCCACGGGGAATGTGATAACAGAAATAAAAGCTGAAACAATTCATTATTTCTACTGGTATTCTGGCATTTGACTTTCTTAAAATGAAGTAGTGTTCTTAATTGAGCTAAGGCAAGAAATTTTCACAGACACACAGGAACATGAGTAGGTAGATAGATACATAGAGAGAGAATGGGGGTTAGGAATTGTAAAAGAAACAGAGTTTAAATACATTTGGCACAGGTGAATATAAACATCTGACTTCTCTCTCTGTCCTCCCTCTCTCTCTCTCTATATATATATATATATATATATATATATATATATATATACACAAATGTAAAAGAACGAAGGGTAAGATTTCAGCGTTCAAAACATTAATTTAAAACAGGGCTCAATACAAAAGTAGAGCAATAAATATTTATTTATTATGCAGTGTTACATTAGAACATGCACATACCCACTACAAAACTGTACATCTTGTTTCAACGTTAAAAAATTCTTTTTTTATATATTAATATTACAATTAGAGTTTTTTTAACAATTACAGTTTAGATCGTTTAAAACTTAGTTGTTATAAACATTTTAGAACTGTGTTACCATACTCATTAGTTTTATGTTTAGTTGGCCGTCATTTTTTTTATATATAAAAGGCTTCCAGAATTTGAAGTTTTTTTGTTTTTTTTTCGTGGTGAAGTATACTTGTATTACCGATTAATATTTCTCTAAATTGGGAATGTGGACAGGAATGTTCCTTTAAATGTTGTACGATCGAGCACACACGCACACACATACACCTGCACATGTAGAGAGGAAGACAGAGATAGAGAATGCGGTTAGGAATTGTGAAAAACTGAGTTTAAATGTATTTGGCTCAGGTGTATGCAAACATCTGACTTCTTTCTTTCTCTCGCTCAGACACACACACACACACACACACACACACACACACATATATATACATATATATATATATATATATATATATATATATATATAGATAGATAGATAGATAGATAGATAGATAGATATGCAAGTGTAGAGCCTAAGGATAAGGAGAAGTGTTTATTTTAGTCAACAAATATTCATTTTTCAACACAATCTCCTTTCTTATCTTCTTCTTCTTGGCTATTCAGGATATAGGCGATTATGGCTCTCCCCAATTTCCTGTCCTTCGTAGTTCTTAATAAATTTTGTATTTTTGTTATTTTTTCTAAATCTTGTCCCGCCATCCATTCCCTGAAACTCACGAAGTATGTTATGCTTTGTTTTCCTGTCACTCTTGCTTTCAATATGACCTGTAAGTATCCAATTTTACAAGCCTACTTTCCTCATTATGAATTTTAGACATGTTTGTTGTCTCTACTTGGTGTTAAGTCTGCTTCCTTTATGTCTCCATTCTCTCTAAAACGTCGCCCTTGCGCACATGTTCTTTCCATAGTATCGTCAGCATCCTTTTATAGAACCATATTTCTGTTGCTTCAGAGTCTTCTTCATTTTTGAAGGGATTGTCAAGTATTCACTACCATATAGAAGGACTAATATCACTTTACAGTTCAGTAGACCTTTCTTTGTTTTTAAAGAAATGTTCTTGATTTTGAGACACATCTTTGCCTATCCTAAATGCGCCTTCAGATTTCAGTGTCGCACTTTCCGTCGTCTGTTAAAACACTTACCAGGGATTTAATTTTTTAAATGAACCTAATTCAGTTGAGAATATTAATCTAATTCTAAGTTTGAGAGCTTATTGTACTTCGGTCTAACCTCTCTCAAATACACACACATATAAGCACAATTATATATATATATATATATATATATATATATATATATATATATATAAACAAAGTGGAAATAGTTTTTGTGTGACATGAAACATTTTCCCTTAAATTGTTCTCGATATATCAAAATTATTGTTATCCCATATATATATATATATATATATATATATATATATATATATATATATATATATATAGTC